TCTAATTTATTATTATATAGATGACTGATGAGATAAAATATCACCAAAAAGTTAATATAGTAAATTATAACGAACTAGCTGAAGCGGTAAGAAAATGTTTGTTGGGTTATAGTGTTGTTGTTTGATTGTAATGCAAGGTGATTTCTCATAAAATATTACTAACAGAAGCAGAAAAAAAAAAAAAATTAATGAAAATGCAGTAACGACGCTAAAATTTAATCACGATGATATCATAGCATTTGCTCATCATTGCTTGACTAAAACCGAATTACAAAATATTTATTGATCATCATATCTAAAAAACCAACCCAAGCATCGTATTCACTTGAAAAAGTTGATTTTGTTGCTCCATCAGCTATAAATTTTTACGACTGCGGGATTTATCTTATAATATTTCGCCGCAGCTGAAATCGATTTGAATTCGATCTCCTCATCCGTTTCGAGGTTTTTTGAAATAACAGGTTTTATTGGGCATCTAAAATTAATACCACCACCTTTTTTTTCTTTTCTTTCACATTTTCCTGTTGCGTCACTAGCTCCAGATTTTCCAATCGATTATCAGTTTTATATTATTTGATGTGATTAATAACAAGACCATTGGGTATAGATCCGTTGAACACCTCGTAAACAAACCTATGACCAAGATAAACGAACTTGATTTGTGATGTTCCTCTAACAGTTACCCTGATATATCCCATATTGCTAATAGTACCAAGAAACTTTTTTTTTTAGTTTTTCTATTTCTAATAATACCGCGATCGTTAACCTCGTATAAATCAAATACTGGGTGCGGCTGAAACTCATCTTGTAAGGATAAATTTTCAATATTATCATCAGTGACTTTACCATTATAATGATATACACGCTGTCCCTCTGGAATATCATCGCAGAACAACGTGTAAATAAAATCTTTTCTAAATATTGCAATCCTCTCGGCATTATCTCCCTTTACACTAATATTATAACCCGCTGACGTTAATTTGCCAACAGGTACTAGTTTTAAATTTAACCGAACCAATTACATTTCCAGCGTATAAGTTATTCTTTGGGTGAATTTGATAAATGCTTGCTCAGTTTGTCAGATTTACTGTTATTATATTATAGAACCTTTTTTTACATTTTTTTAGCCAGCGCAGTATAAAGTTATACTTTGGGTGAATTTGATAACTCTCTTGCTCACGTGCGCTTGTCAGATTTACTGTCATTATATTATAGGTAATATTTTTTTTTATCTCTAATTGATTTTTAGCGCATGCGCAGTGTGAGATAAAGTTATACTTTGGGTGAACTGATAATATTCTTGCTCACATGTGTTTGTTTTGGGTGAACTTGATTTGCACATGTGTTTGTTATTTGCTGTCATTATATAGGAGATATTTTTTTTTCTTCAATTCTCTAATTGATTTTTAGCGCATGCGCAGTGTGAAAAAATTATCAATTAGATATTACATTATAGTATAATAATGTTAAATTGCGTGATATAGCTAAGAGAAGCTTTATGGGAGACCTAATAAAATAGCGACTGCTTTTGCAGGTTTTGATAATAGTTATCAGTTTGATAATCAAATTGTTTTTAGTAAATTTTACTGCAACAAATCTTTACCACCTACTACAGACAATTGTAAAAAACGTGAGCTCGAAAAACACAAAAGTATCAGATTATTTGTGCAATATCATGTTATATTTTCAAAGTTAGTTATAACGGAAGAATTAACTAACAAGGAAATTGCAGAACCTTATATGAACGCAAAATCAAGACGTGTTTTGCTTGGGACTGATCTGTTATCACTATCTGATGAAATACACCAAGAAATTGGAAAAAAAATAGAGGAATTTAGTCAATTAGGTCGGGTTGGAAGTTTGAAATGATCAAAGGAATATTGTTTCACACGATGAAATATAACGCATTACGAGGTAGTTCATACGTCGACCTGCCACCAAAAATAAAAAGTAAAAGATGTTGTATAAACATCAAAAACGTAGATAACAAATGTTTCCAATGGGCTGTTCTTTCCGCACTATTTCCAGCAGAAAAAAACGCTACTCGTGTTGAAAAATATATCAGTCACGTGTCTAGATTAAATTTTAAAGATATTAACTTTCCAGTGGCAGAAAATCAAATACCAAAATTTGAAAAGCAAAATAATGTTTCAATTAACGTTTTCGGACTAGATGAAAAAGGAGGACGTATATCCGAGATATATTTCAGAAAAAGCTTCACAATCGACTATAAATTTACTGTTTACAAAAAAAATCATTACGTTTGGATTAAAAACTTTAACGGACTAGTTGGTAAACAGTACAATAAGGAAAGAAACAAAAAAAAGTTCTTTTGTTACCGCTGCTGCTGCATGACTGTACAAACAATGAACATTACAAAAGCATTTGCAGTACTGTAGTGATGTGCAAAGAATAACAATGCCATCTAAAAAAGATAGTGTGTTACAGTTTGTCCATCATAATCACAAACTAAAAATTCCTTTCGTCATATACGCTGATT